TGTCTCTGTCTCTGACTCTCTCTCTCTCTCTCTCTCTCTCTCTCTCTCTCTCTCTCTCTCACACACACACACACACACACACACACACACACACAATGTCTTTTCATCTGAGGATTTCACTTTATTCTTTGAGATGTGAGACTCAGTCAAACAAAGTTCACATATTTGAGGAGTATTTTTCCAAAGAACCTTTAGGAGCAAGGGATACTGCTCGGAAACTATTCTCACCCACAGAAACCTGACTGCTATAATTCTCCAACAGGGGGTATCTGTGCCACAATCTCTGTGCAGGGTCTAGACATTGCTCTCTCCTCCAGGGGGAATGCCACAGTCATATCACTGCATGGCAACAAACCATTAAATTAAAACAAAAGCCATTTGTCTGTAAGTGGAAGTCATGTGTCTGTAAGTCAGGGTGCTTTTCATGAACCAAAAAAAAAAAAAAAAAAAAATCTTATGTAGGTGAATGGTCCTAATTATTCAAAAGTGGCTTCCTAATTCTATTTTAATCTAAAGTGAAGTTTCTAACTGTGAAATTGTTACAGACAGGCAATGGTGTGTAGATGTTTTTCTAAATGGTCTTATTAAATTAGAAACACAGAGCCAAATGCAGAGTTAAAAGCCCAGAGATTGAGCAGCAGCCAAGAGTTAAGACTGCCTTCTTACCCCCTCACTGTCGTTTTTGTCGTCCTTACCCTGAGAAAGAGGCCTACTTCCTGTGTGTCTGTATTTTTATTGACTTTCTGTTCTGCCTTCTCATTGGTTCTAAACCCAACCACATGACCTCCTCATCACTGCCTGTCTGTACAGACCTCCAGGTCTCTATGGTTGGTATTGAGATTAAAGGCGCGTGTCTCCATGCTGGCTGTATCCTTGAACACTCTGTATCCTTGAACACTTGAACAGATTCTGCCTGTCATGTGATTGGGATTAAGGGCGTGTGCTACCACTGCCAGACTTCTGCTAAACGGCTTGCTATTAGCTCTGACCCCCAGATAACTTTATTTATTAACATACAAATAAATCACATTTCAGCACAAATAAAATATCACCATAATGGTGACACATGCCTTTAATCCCAGGAAGTAATATGGAAGGACACAGAAAGGTATATGAGAAAACAGGAACTCGCTCTCTTGAAGCTGAGGATTTCATAAAGGTAAGCTAGTGGCTGACTGTTCTGCTTCTCTGATCTTTCAGCTTTCACTCCAATATCTGGCTCTGGGTTTTCTATAAGACGTTGTAAGATTCATGTTATATGTGTCAATATATGTTTACAGTCCAATACAAAGGAAAAACTATAGAATTGCCCTTGACACTGTAACAAGACAACAGTGCAGTTGTATTTACGATAAGGATTTAACCTAGCTAGAGAGGCTAGAGTGAGGCTCAGCAGTTAGGAGCACTGGTTACCCTTCCAGGAGACTGGGGCTCTGGAGCAATGCCCTCAAGGCAGCTCACAACTGTCTGTAACTCCAGCAACACAGAACAGTCCCTAACCCCCATACCTCACCTGATGAATCCATTATCCTTATCAAGTCACCCTCTTCCATGTTTTGGATCTTTTGAGACACACCGAGTTTCATTTACACTGCTTTCAGGAGCACAGTGAGAGGATACTGACTGGAGAATTGGAAACTTACATGTAGCTTCACTTCCAAAGATGACTCCTTTTCCATCCAGTAACCCATTAACTGTCAATAATTCCTCAGGAGAAGTGAGGCTGCATGAAGTTCTCACTTGCAGATAACCACAGTGGTGGTCAGGTCAGGACAGTATTCTTGGCAGTCTTCTCAGTCTTGGGGCTTTTATATGCTTTCACCTCTTCATCAGCATTCCTGGGGCATCAGATGTGGTGATGAAGATGTTCCATTACAGAAATGGATGCACTGTGTGATGTCAATAGAACAAGTCCTCAAGAGTCACTTACTGTCAACACTTTGACCAGGAAAGAGTCTCTGAAATAACTACCACTTGCTGCAAATAAAGAACCACCTCTGACCAAAAGTAAGGAAAGCACTAATCTGGAAAGAAGAATAAATATTTACAAGGCAACATGATAATGAACGCACTTACAAGTATGTAATATTTCAATGCATAGAATCCATGACCTCTCCATTGATGTATTTTTGACTATTTACAGTGCCATCCATGAATAATCAATGGTACAAATCCAATGAGTAATGAGATGGTGGCCCCACAATCCTACAGACAACAGGGTACAAGTGGCACATCTTTTCTGGCAGTTGGTATTATGCCAGGCAGGGTCCACAGCTGGGTGAGATCATGAATAACTTTTCTCTTCCAGCATTTTGCTTAGTACTTTCAGATGCTGTGAAAGCTCACCAGCAGGGGAGAAGCTACCAGGTCAAGTCATCCCATGATCCTGGCAATTCCAATATGCTAGAGTTTCCACTGCAACTGGGGCTGCATATTCATCAATACTCTCTCTTCTCGGGAAACCTCTGACCCTGCCGCACATGCCAGACCTCAGCTGCTCTCCATAAACCCTTCAAATCCAGCACCATGTGGCAGATTCATTATTTGACAAGTTCTGCTACAAGATGGATGTAGACTTGACCCCTCACTAGAACAGAACTCATAGAATGAATCAATCTCTCTCACTCAACTGTGGTCCAGCTACACCAACAATGGCTTGTGTACAAAAGGTCTAAGAATCCAGTAATTGTTTAATCCCAAGGCTGCGTGTCTCAGCTGGTCTTCAGTATATGCCAGAATCTTGAAGAAGCAGGCTCTCATGCCAGTGAAGGAATGGAATTCCTATTGAGGCGAGAGTAAGCAGACAAGCAACAGCTTCTTTTTTCCCTGTCATTATGTAGGCTTCCAGCCGAAAGCTTGGTCCAGATTAGAGATAGATCTTCCCACTTCAAAGATCTGGATTATAAGTGGATTTTAGCACTTCAAATTAAACAAAAATCTCTCACAGGTGTGCCCCTCCGTTTTTATATTTTAGTTAATTACAGATATAGACAAGTTGACAACCAAGAATAGCCATCACAAGTATCAATATTCTAATACAATATTTTAGTATTAGAATAAATGTTTCCCCAACTTTTTTCAGTCCTGCAAAATGATCTTCCAGCACACCCTTGAAGAATTCTAAGCTGTACATGAGCATGTATGTGCTATGTTGTTCATAGGTTATCTCTTTAAAGCTTTGTAGTTTCTTGATATTTGAAGTCACACATTAAATTAAGCTGGATATAAGTCTCTATTAATACACTTTCTTGAGTTTCATTTCATGATGACTTTTCTGGTATGTCTACAATATTAGCATTGTGTTTAAAATTTAGCAAAAAAAAAATGAAATTCAGTTCAGTTCTTGGGACTTATACAGTGGGATTTCTAAGGTACAGCAGGACACGAGGAAAGCACAATGGCATTCAGTATTTGCCCACAGGCAGCAGTCTACTAAGAGTCACTGTTCTTTGACTGAATCATGGGTTCTAAGCATGATTAAGAGTCATACATAAGCCAGGCGGTGGTGGCGCACGCCTTTAATCCCAGCACTCGGGAGGCAGAGCCAGGCGGATCTCTGTGAGTTCGAGGCCAGCCTGGGCTACCAAGTGAGCTCCAGGAAAGGCGCAAAGCTACACAGAGAAACCCTGTCTTGAAAAAAAAAAAAAGTCATACATGGACACAACCCAGTTTGGATATCTGTCACTGACAGTTTTGTAACTGTTTTTTCATGTGTCTCCCTGTGGACCTCTCACTCTCTCCTCCATGAATGCAAAAGATAGCAGTCTTTTCTATGAGGCTCCCTAAGCCTATATATTCTGTGTTGAACCCTTTTAACAGAATCAGGTACTACCATGGTAGTAAGCCTGGAGCAGTGAGCACAAACAATCTTGCCTGATTTAGTTGGCCAAATGCTTTCTCTTTAATATTAATTTTGTAGTGTACAACAGGATAGGAAGAACAAGATAGGTTTTAGCACATGTTGTATGAGAGACTTTTCCTGGGGAGACAGAACATATATATGCATCTACTCTCGCAAAATGAGAAATGACAGAAGCAAGTACAGATGCCACTGATATATCTTTGTTGACCCAATGAGCTTTATTGGGGATACTCAGAGAACTATGGGGAAAGAGGTGCTTAAAGGAACAAGAGGGACTCAAAGATAGCTGCCATCAGGAAACTCAAACCCAGCATGGAATACAGCTTTTGAACACTGGACACCTGGAGCACACTGTACACATGCAGGCATATCTACAGGTTAAAGGGCATCCTATTTTGGTGGTTCAGTTTGTCAAAGCCTCTTCTAAATAGCAGAGTGATCTGAGTTTCTTCATGGGAGTTAACCAGAGTGAATCCTGTCAGTTTCTGGGACTTCCTGAGTTATTTGGGGGTTTTCATTTTCTGTCTTAATCACTTTCCTTCAGGATGGAACATTTCTGTTTCCAGGAAATGGTTACATAACAGCATATTCTTCAGGCTTTTCCATTTTGTCTTCATTATGAAGTATTTGAGGTTGAAAAAGTAGAACGTCTTAAAGAACATTTTCCTACATAGTCACATTTGAATAATTTTTCCTCAATATAAACTCTTGATCTTTTCTACAATTTGAACATTACTTACAAGATTTTGGAAGTTTCTCATGTTCATAATGATTCTCTAGTGTGAAACCTGCAATGGTTCCTAAGAACAGAACTTGGATAAAGCATGTGCCACATTATTTACTAATGGAAACTTTCCTTCCCTACTATGAATTTTCTGATGTTTTCTTAGACCTGAGAGGTGGGTAAAGACTTTGACACATTCCCTGCATTTGTAAGGTTCCTCTCCTGTGTGAATTCTCTGATGTATTCTAAGTTGGACTTTCTGAATAAAGCATTTGTCACATTCACTGCATTTGTAAGGTTTCTCTCCAGTATGAATCTTCTGATGTCTTCTAAGATCTGAGCCACTGGTAAAGGATTTCTTACATTCACTACATTTGTAAGGTTTCTCTCCGGTATGAATTCGCTGATGTTTTCTAAGACCTGAGCAACATGTAAAGGATTTCTCACATTCACTGCATTTGTAAGGTTTCTCTCCTGTATGAATTCTTTGATGTATTGTAAGTTGGGCTTTCTGGATGAAGCATTTGTCACATTCACTACATTTGTAAGGTTTCTCTCCAGTATGAATTCGCTGATGGGTTCTTAGATATGTCAGTCGGCTAAATCTTTTGCCACATTCATTACATTTGTAATGTTTCTCCCCTGTATGAATTGTCTGGTGGCTTCTTAGGTGTGTCAGCTGACTAAAGCGTTTGTGACATTCACTGCATTTGTAAGGTCTCTCTCCAGTATGAGTTTTGTAATGGTATTTAACCTGATACAACTGATAAAAGCACTTGTCACAGGCTTTACATTTGTGAGGTTTCTCTCCAGAATGGTTTTGCTGGTGTATACTGGAGTTCGAGTGGTTTCTTTGATTTTGACTGATGGGAAACAAATTTAAACAATTCACACAGTCTTTAAATTTGCAAGGTTCTTCTCCAGAGTCCCCATTTTTATGCCTCTTTATGACTGATGACTCAATAGAAGCACCCTTGTGGTTACCACATCTGTACTTAATGTAGTCTTCTGCAGTATCACTTGTGTCATAAGTTGAATATTGGGAGGGTTCATGAATTATTTTGCCAAGCTCACTACATTTATAAGACTTCTCTTGGATATTCAAATGCTGATGGATAATATACTTTGAGCCTTGATCCAAGAATTTCTTATATTTTCCACATATATGATGGTTCTCTGGAAAGTTAGCCCAATTATGGTTAATAAGAATTAATGCCTAAGTAACAGATTCACTAACTAATGTTCCCTTAAGTTCTCTAAGGCAAGTAAAATAGCAATTCTTAGGAACAGAACTCTCAGCAGAGGCCTTTTGTGCTTTACTATCATTAAATGGATGCTCAGAAGGACCTCCACTCTGATCTCTATCAAACCGAAAGGATCAATGATAGCCTTCTCATTCTTTTCTAATCTGCTTACCTTTCAGAAGGTTGGACAAATGGGTCGTCATGCAATAATGGACTTTGAGATGGGAGCTCTCTGAAGCATCATAGGAAGAATGTTTCTCTATTTTCTTGTTGTTTATGTTTTTGAAACAGAGTCCATAATGTAGCCTTCGTTGGCTAGGAACTTGCTATGTAAATCAGGCTCACCTGGATCTCACCAGGTAGGTCCTCTTGCTTCAGCAACCCCTAGTGTTAGGATTAAAATGATGCTATGCCAGGACTAGACCATATGTCAAAAAAATAAACAAACAAATAAAAACAACATGCTTACCAGCAACAGCTCTTTATGTTAAAACCTCTCAATTTTTTTAAAAAATCAAAAAAATGTAAATTCTTTAATTCAATACTAAAATCAAAATAGTCCAATTAAAAAGTGTACAGCAATGCATTTCCTTGCTCTAAATATTCAGCTTTCTTTGAGCTTTGAAATTTTCTTTAAAAACTACAAAAGAGGGCAGGAGAGATTGCCCAGATTATAGCATTGGTTAATCCTGTAGAGAACACAGAAAAAAATGTAAAAAAAAAAAAAAAAAAAAAGCACCATGAAGAAGTTATATTCACTATCAGAATTTCCCTTATTTCTGGTTGTCTCTAGGCAGTTCAGGAAGTTTACACACATACAAAGTAGGTAAATACAAAGGATGAGTCAGGAATTCTACAAGAAGAGCATTCTTACCTACAAAGACTAGATTGCTATAATTCTCCAACATCACATCCATGTACAAAGTTCTCTGAGCACAGTCTAAACATTCCCACTCCTCCTGGGACAGGTCCACAGTCACATCCCTGAATGTCAATGGATCCTGTAATGGAAAATTACCCATTTATCATGTGCTGCTGGAAAAAGAAGTTTTCCTAGGTCAAAGAGATCTAAAGAATTAGAGACTCCTGTGGTATAGATGGGGTGTGACAATTATTCAAAGGCAAACTGTTTCTAGAGCTGCTACAGAGATGGGTCAGAAGAGTGCTAGCTACTCTTCCAGAGGACTCACACTTGGCTCCCAGCACCCACATGGTGCTACACAACAGATTCTAACTCTGGTTCCATCAGATCCAATACTCTCTTCTGAATTCTGTAGGTATAGCGTTCACGCAAACATTAAACCAAGTATACTCAAACACATAAAATAAAAGTGGAAGTTAATTTTAATAAAGGAACTTTCTAGAATAGTCATGTTCTTTATTGTATTTTCTATCTCAGTGAAAACAGGATGATACACTCTCACAATCAGCAAACTTGTCAGAAATATAAGATACACATTTGAGATCTAGATACAGGAATGTAACTACAAAGGCTGTGTTGAAATCAAACAGGACCACAATGTCTAATCTCAGATGGTCAAGTTATGATGAACAAAACTGTGCTTCCAAACTCTACAACTGTCAACTTTGCTCAAATACGGACAGTGGAGCAATCTTGTCTGCAGCTGGGCCTCACATGACTCTAATCGAAAATACTAAGTTCAGATGCTAAGGCCTAGGTGTAATGCTGCAAACTGTTTCTAGAACAAAGAATATGGAATGCAGAACTTATGGATGAATTAATAGTCAAATTACTTTTTTAATCAGTAAGGAGTATGCATACATCCAACATTCCAAACACATAGAATCAAATACTTTGTAACATTATTTTATGAGAATATTTTTGACAACCATGAAGTAAACAGAAAAACAGCATCAGACAGTGTGAATATTATCTAAATTTTTCTAAAACTCCACACAACCAATACAGATGAACAAAAATTTCAGAAATTCCATATGGTGCTTCACTACAGAATAATTAAACTGTACTAACTCTTCACTAATTCTGATCATAAAATTGGCTCAATTGAACATTTGAATCTTAGCTGGGTAGTGGTGGTGCACACCTTTAATCCCACAGGAGGCAGAGGCAAGTAAATCTCCATGAATTTGAGGCCAACCTGGTCTATATAGCATGTTTCAGGACAGGCAAGGTTACACACAGAAACCTTGTCTTAAAAAGCCAAAAAAAAAAAAAAAATTTTTTTGAATCTTATAAGTTCACCTCTATTCTTTTTTTCAGTATTTGAGCTCAATCATGTAACATGATTTTAGGTTGCACAGATAAGTATCATTATGACTCTTCCTTTATTTTTCAAAAAGTAGAAAATGCCAGGTTATATACTGGCTAGTTCACAAAACAGTAATATAACCCATAATCCTGGGGGCTGGAAAGATAGCTCAGAAGTAAAGGGCATTTGCTGTCCCTGCAGAGAAACCCAGTTTAATTCTCTCTACATACATAGTAGCTCTTTACAGTGACTGATTCTAGTGTCAAGTGTCTGATGCCTATGTACTATGTCCATGGGACATCATGTAGGCATGTGGTGCACAAAAGCATGCTGATGAATACTACTATACTTAAATTTAAAAAAAAAATTTAAAGAAAGAAATTGGCACTTTTCTTGTGAATCTCTACCTACATAATACATAGCTTCAGGGAAAGGAAAAAACAAAATACAGGGAGCCTTCCTCCTTCAAAAGAAAGAAAGAGGGCTGGAGAGATGGCTCAGCTGTTAAAGGCTAAGCTCACAACCAAAAATATAAAAGAAAGAAAGAGAGCAAAGTCATTAAAAGGGACATTTGTTTATGCTTCAAAATTGATGGCTTATGCACAGCACGCAGTCAATACTCTCTAGAAAATTCTTACTAATATATTCCATGTGATGCAATATAGAGGTAGAGACAGGACTGCTTACACCCTGTCTGAAAAATAAAACAAATAACAAAGAGAAAATACTGATCTGTCTATTGAGAACTTACCATTGAACACTGGAATCAAGAGCATATGAGCAGAACCTCTCCTGAGACAAATAGATTTCAGCTGACAACACACCCATAGGTACATCATAACTGTGTGAAATCAAATAGCAAAGAGAGAATCTACTATACTGCAATCTGCAGCTCCTCCCTCACAGAAACATCAGTTTTATGGTAAGAGCTAGCCACATATTCCTCATCATCTGCACTCTGTAGGGTGCTGAAAATATTTAGTATTAAGATTCAAGACAGGGAATCTCATTTCATTCTACTTTTCCATAAATTACTCAATGATGTTAGCCAAAAGTTGTGGGTATTTCCATGGCCATTTTCATAAAGCTGGTTCTGGAATCCTTACCATCTCTAAAATGTAACCTCTGTGTGGCCTTCCTTCTTTACTTTAATATATAAAGACACAGGTCCATCTTCTGTATGAACTGGGCATCAATATACTTCTTTGGTCATCATTTACAATGGAATATTTCAGAATTGCAGTCTTACAACTATGAGAATTACATCCCCACAGTAATAATTGAGGGAAGATACAATGGGATGAGACTGTGCTATGTATATAACAAGACTTAAAGATTTAATCTGGATTGTCAGAGAAGAAAAAGAGTATGAATATTAAGAATACAAAATAAACACTTTAGATGACACTGCCAGAGGCCGGGAATTAAAAGAATGAATAGTTTCAATATAAAAACAATTTTCAAATGAATCTAGACACACCAACCTGGGGCACATTTATCGGAGAAGCGGCCATTCTCCTTGTTGCTCTTCTCTGAATTTCTGTCTCAGGAACAAAGACTGGAATTCTTCTTGACATTTCACATCAAGGAGTCAAAAATATAAAACTAAAATTAATCCAACTCTGTTATAGACAATGCCAAACTACATATAGAGACCCCCAAATCAAAATGATATTAGCAGTCTTGTCAACATTCCTATAGAGAGGAAAGCATGGAAGGATACATTTGGAGTGCTGAGAGAGAGTAACTGTGAACCATGTCACTGCACTCAGAAACACTGGCTCTTAAAATCCATAGAGAAGTGTATTTGAAGAAAGTTGTGAAATAACACATGTCATCCACTCAGGCAGCACTGAAGATCATAATTGGAGGCAAATTATACTTAGAAAAATCAAGAGAAGTTATCCACAAGGACACAGGAAATCAGACACTTTACATAAGAAATAGATAAATAGAAAAGAGCTGAGTAATAACAGACCATGGCCAACAGATAAAACCAGCAAAACACTATTTCTTACTAGAAGACAGAAAAATACTAATAGTGACTTTACCAACTACAATATTTAAAAAAAAAAAAACATAACAAATAAAAGCCCTGTGATATGAAAATCTCAATAGAAATGGAAATGTCAAAAGACACAGTTCAAAGATTTTGTGATAAACTCCTAAAGATACTAGGAAAAAAATGTAACCCGGCTCAACATGTAAAGGGCATGTATGTTACACCTAGGTCAACAGTACACTGCAGAGAAAACTGACAGGCATGAGCAGGAAAACGGTCAAGAAAGAATAATGCATGTGCTCTCCAGTCTCACTTAATCCAGAGCCATAAGAGTGGGCCAGAGACGTGTGAATAAGACAAGGAGAGAAAGGAGAAACAAGTAGGAGAGAAAGGCACCAAATTCCTTTTTAATGATTACATACAATCACACAAAAAAGTCTTCACATACTCCAGGGGGAAACCTCCGACTTGATAAGTGTGTTAACTATTTTTGAAAAAATACAAAAGTAACACGCAAAATGACTAGTTTTCCTATATGTCAATAATGACGATTTGAGAAGTAAGTTAGAAATTAAACCCATTTAGGTTGCATCAAAAAGGTCTAGGAATAAGACTAAGTAATGATGACTTTGCTTTTATGAAAAAATCCCTAAGGTACTCAGGGGGGAAAAAATGAAAAATAAGAGTACACAAGGAAATGGACCTATCCAAACTCTCTAAAAGCCATGGTGAAAATATTACTAACAGCAACCAGTGGAATTGAAGCAATCTCCATCAGCCAAATACTGATATTTTTCACAAAAGCAGATAAGGAAACAGTCACATGGACACAGAAAAGTCACATGTATCAAAATTAATCCTAAGAAAGGGTATTCCTGGGGGTATCACAGGATCTGGTCACACATCATAACTCAGAGGCACAAGGCAAAGACAGCATGATTGCACACAAAGAACCATGCAGAAAATTGATTAGAACAGGGAACATAGAAATGAACATATACCAGAGAGATGATATAAGCTACATATGTCAACAACAAACCCAGGAAATAGAGAGCCCTTTGAACACTCTGTGCTGGGGAAACGATTGATTATCCAAGTGCAGACAAGTGACATTAGATCCAGATCTCTCACCCTACACACAAATCAATACAAACTAGATCAAGGACCAAGGCCCTTCCTAGAAAAATCGAAATGCTAAAAGCACTATTGGAAAACATGATTAAATGCTTAATAATTTAGAAATAAGCAAACCCTGTCTGAAAGAGATTCCAGGAGTACAGAAGAATAACAAGGAGATTTTATGGAGTACAAGCTGGAAAGGTCAGAAGTACACAATGAATGATAGATAGCTAAGGGAGAATGAATGATAATTGAGAAAGTGAAATTGAAATAAATGCCTAGGAGGTTAATTTTACATATGTGTGTGTATGTATATAATTCTTTCTATAGTTAGATTAGATAGATGATAGGTAGATAGATAAATAGACAGACATATTTACACACACATATGTCTTATGTTCATCCATGTGTCAGGAGTCATTCTGAATATTTGCATGCTATTATTAAACAATGTTTCCATAACCACGGCATCATTATATGTAGATATACATATGTATCACATCAATCGTATTTATAGCATCTCAAATAGTTTTCTTGATAGGCAATGCACATTTGGATGGTTTCTTACCTAGCAAATGCTCAATATTATAGAGTGACAATGGGAGATTAGATGAAGCTTAAAACCAACTTCATTTCATCTGATCATATCTGGTCATGGAACAGACCGATGCTATGTACATCCCTCATGATTCAGGCGAATTGCTCTACTCTTTTCCATCATATTGAAATAACAGACAGCGGCCAAATTTCTTAAATGATCAATTTTAAACAATAGTTGAGAGAGTGTGTGGAGAATATAGGTAAATAAAATACCAAATTCTCTCAGAAACAACCATGGATATTTATCAATTACACCAAGAATTCAAATGATACTCAATGAGTTAAGCATTATGACAACTAAATTAGGATATTAATACTATCACCAACAAAATTACGACAATAAAAAGAAAACCAGCTTGTAGCTGTGACATCTACACTATGAAGCAATAGGTGAGAAATTCTCAACTTTGATGAAGGAAACAGACATAATTCAATAGCTTCACTAATCCTAGCAAGCAGACCAGAGGACACAGGAAGGGTGTATTGTATGAATCAGGGTTCTCTAGAGAGCAGAACTTACAGAATGAATCGCTCTACATATAAAGAGACATGGGATTTATTAGAAGACTTATAGGCTGCAATCCAGTTAATCCAACAATGGCTGACTATGAGCAAAAAAACCTTAGAATCAACAAAGACTGGATGTCTCTGCTGGTCTTCAGTATATGCTAGAATCACAAGGATGTAGGCTCTATGCCTACATCTATGACAGTAAGGAATAGATTTGCTAGTAAGGCGAGGGCAAGCAGACAAGGAGCAAAAGCTTCTTTCTTCCATGTCTTTCTTTATACACATTCTCCCCAGTCACATATAAGGTAGATTTTTACACTAGCTAGAGGGGATGGACTGAGGACTGGTGGTCAGGAGCACTGGCTGTTCTTCCAGAGGACTGGATTCTAGAGCAGCAACCAAATGGCAGCTCAAAGAACTGTCTGGAACTCTAGTTCCAGGTGTCCCATGCTCTCTTTTATCCACTTTGGACACTGCACATGTGTGGTGCACAGACATACATGCAGAACAACCACCCATACACAGGTAGCAATAATAATAACAGAACTAGCTATAGACATTTGAAACAGACAATGAAACAAAGAGATACAGTAGAAAAAGGAAGACATTTAACTCAACCTTTTCAACAATGGTGTGATTGCATATAGAACCTACCTGAAGACACCACCTAAAACTTTTATACTTGGCAAATGCCTTAGTAATATTGAAGAATAAAGAATTATCATACACAAATCAACAGTTAGAATATACCAATAATGAGCAGGTTGAGAAATAAATTAGGATAATATTGCATTTACAGTCGCTTTTAAGCGACCCATAATGCCCCCAAAATATTGTAAATTGTGTTCATAGTTCTCAACTATGACAGAATTACAAACTTGAACATAACTGATACTCCATCTCACCCTACCAGAGTGGCTAATATGAAGAAAACAAATGGCTGGAGAGATGGCACAGCAATTAAGAGCACTTACTGCTTTTCCAGACCACCTGGGTTAAAATCCTAGGACCGTCATTCAGACTCACAACAATCCATAATGACTCTTCTACAGGACCCAATGCCCTCTTTGTGGTGGTCTCCAGAGGCACCAGGCACACAGACATACATGTTGCCAAAACAAATAAGATAAAAATAACAAAAACAGAGGCGG